ACTTTGTAGATAAACGCGAACCTTTTTGGATTGACTTTTTTCAGCAGAATTTTGTTTTTGATATTTCGACTTCACAGAAACACAAATTAAGAAAGTTTATTGAAATATGTTAACTGAAGTTCCATGGAAGAACGTGTTAGAAAAGTGTATAAAAAGCTCCGATGAAAAAGGTGAAAAAACAGCATATGAATAAAGAAACCGTATTTGTTTTTGAATTCGAAGACAGCACTTTAAGATTCGTTATACAACGAGAAAAAGTAAGAGGTTTTAGAAAAGTTTGCAAAAGATAATTAAAAATTTTGATGACAATTAAAAGTGTTCATGAAAGAGACATTTGCTAACACTTTCGTAGCGAAAAAGAAAAGAAAAGTTCACTAAGTTATGACCGCGAACTACGATCGACGTGTGCACTTGTCATTTGGTAAATCATGTAAACTTTCATTTTAGCAATAACGAATCGTATGTGTTTGACGAGCTTAGTACGATAGATGTAATAATCGATCCTTGGAATGATGAACCTTTTCACAATCACCATCACCGGAAAAAACAAGAGTCAGAGTCCGATGACTATGTGTATGGCAACGAACATCTACTTAACATGAACCAGCTCGCAGACGAGAAGGTTATAGAAGTAATGGAACAGGATGGTATACCTCCCGTTATTATCACATCCGAGGTGGATACTCGCGAGGATGCGCTGAGATACGATGGTAGGTTTTATTAGTCATAAATTTTATTAGCCATGAATGATTCTTCTCTTTTCGTTTTTAATAGTTCTCCGCGGTCGTCTTGTCGAACTCGTCTTATGCAATGAATTTGGTATCATGTATGGAGATACAGGTCAAACTCTAACATCAGCCCCGTTAGATATTGCAGAAAAATCCTTATTACATTCAGTTATTCTATTGTCACAACGTATGCCAAGACCATCAGCATTACCACCGCTAACCAGAGCACTTTATTACCGATTTCTCAGAAACGTTCCCATCCTTTTCGGTCACGACGAACATTTTCTAGCATCTTTAGATGACTTTGTCGAATCTCACTTTATTACGTTCGTTGGAAAGTGGATGCGAGCTACAAAGTTCGATATTCTTTCGTTTTCAATACACTATATCAAACTGTTCTCACATTTAAAAAACGAGGCGTGGTATGGTTACGATTCTCATTCTTTTACATCGCTAAATCCTTCATATGCTCAAAAACCACTTCACATTCCGACAACGATCTATCCAGAAATGATGACGTGTTATCGTGCAGCATTACCAGACGGTGGTACGTTTCAACTTACTAAACGTCGGATAGCAGATAGAGAAATGAATGCAGAAACTTTGCAAAAACTTCGGCAAAGTAAACAAATGGGTTTTGTTAATGCATGGCGCGAAGTTTTTCGAGCTGCAACACATCTTATCCGATACTTAACTAAAAATGACAGTGATGGAACGGGTCAATATAATTATTTGGACAGATTTTGGAAAGTGCTGAAGGCGAGTCCTGAAGTACATGACTTGCCTGATATTTTTGCAAATGTTGTTGAGGCTGTTATCAAAGCCCTGACTTATACAATTGATAATATTCTGGTATGTATTGAATAACTGGAATCATTTGATAATAATCATGCTTTGTTCTTGCTCTTCATAACAGGACGATGAAGACTGGCGTAAAACAGCATTGGCTTTATGGAAATGGTTACCTATCAATACGATACTCACCGCTCTACGTATTTTTAATCCAATTTCTTTCATGGATCGCATCATCAATGTTTTCTGCTGGCGAGGATGGGGTATGAATTCTCTCCTTCAACGTATGGGTTCAACAGTTTGCTCGTATGATCGAACAATAGCGCATATTAAAGTTTTGCGTAGAACATTAGCATCTTCAAACCGTTACGCAATAGAACGAGCCGTAGATGTTGCATTCAAAAACTTAAAGCAAACCAATGCCATCAGTTGTCCCATTTCATCGCAAGACTCAAACGCAAAAATTCAGTCTCTCCTCCTCGATTCAGACAAAAAACAGTTCCCGAACGAAGCAATCATTCAAGAAACGGACATAGTATATGCAAGGACCTATATCCGTAAAAAAGAAAAAGAGGACTTTATAGAAGCACTTGGTGATACTCACACCATCAATTTCATAAAAAACGTTTGTCACACTATTACCCCTCTACTAGCAGAAATCTCAGAGTGCATTGATTTTGCATCGTTCGTAGCTACGTTAGCAGAGACAGTCAACAGCATCCTGCCAGCTTTATCGATCTATGACCAGTGCGGAAACGACCCAGAAAAGCTATTAGAAGTTTATCTGTCAGTTATATCCAATATTGAGTCCACTGTACGAACATTGGTCATAACTGCATATCCAATGGTCTACTCTATTGCAAATCGAGAGCAAAACAGTGATAGGCCAGGTTTTCAAGACTTAATTAACAAACTCATTCACAGTATTCTAAATCCCTCGGAAGGAAAGATAGCAATCCTGGACCTATTCAGAGATGTAACACCCGAAGTATTTTGTCTCTTGTCTTCATCATCGCCACTTAGTGACCAATTGCAAGTGGATATCGATACATTGATCGAATACATGAAGACAGGAGTTGACGCAGAAAAATTTAAAAGAATGAGTGTACTGGAAGGAGAAGTCTTAAGACGGTTCACGAAACAAGTAATTGAAGAATTTACTGGTGAGACAGCTTTGAAAATGCTTGACGACGAAAGATTGACAAATGAAGTAGGGTCGATTGTCGGTTGAAACAATGACAACATGAAAGAGTATGATAATTCTACTAAACGTGAAATTACGAAGGAATCTAATATTATATAAATTCTTAATAGATTAATCGAGATTGGAAACATAATGTGCGTTTGAAAGCCTAGTTCTTGCGTTAGAAAATAAGATAGAGACAGGCACACCTATCCCTAAAAAAAAGACAGTCACTAACCACAGCAATTTTCCTCTCTTATTCCGCTGCTGTTTAAATGCACCGGTTCATTTCCCTTATTTATCTTTGACTGTATTACTGTTGGAAGTTCGGGCATCTCTGAAACGGGTTTGTAAAAAATTCACGTTTTTCAACAATGCAGGTCAGGTTTAAGCTTGGAACATTCAGCTGCACGACGTTAACCAGATTTTCATGTTTAGTATAAAAACTGATTCTTCTTTCTTAGCATAGCAGAAAATAGTCGAGAAGGCTTTCAGGTTGTCAAGTAAATAAATTACATAGTTTTCACACAGACAGGCTTGATTTTCAAACTCATTCGAAATATTAACTATAACTTCCTAAAAATGATGGCGCATATCCTAGCAACGTCTTTCTTTGGTAAAAATCAAATTAACTTGGTTTATTTTGAAACATATTAAATGTCAACATAATAGAGAACAGGTAAAAAAATCATTGCTCACATTACAGATCTGTCTCTACACCTTCCTCTTCAACTTCCCTCATCGAATTGTGTGAGTCAATATATGTGTCTCTACATGAGTTAATCTGTCTTTGTTTATGACTGGCATCAGCGATTCCAATTCTAATGTTGAATCAGATGCTAATGCTGCTGGTCCATGATGTTTTGTTGGGTTTAGCTGCTTCGTCGAATAATCATCCTTAATAAATGAATTTTTATTAGTATTTTGGTAATAATTGATGGTATTATTATAATGATGTCGAGGAATATCTTCAGTATTGACGCTGCCAAGTTGATCGTTATTTCCGCCATCATACATATTGTTGTTGTAATTAATTTTGCTGAACAGATGATTATCATGAACAATACTTTTGTTAACATTGTGACGATAATTTTTATTTTTAATTTCATTCTTGAAATTTCGCTATCATGATACTCACCAATATTTTCAGAATTTAGTATGATGGAATCACTATTCACCATATGATCATCGACGGACCGAAATTTTGGTTGTCATAAGCCAAAAGACTAATACTTTCGTGGTCAATTCAGCATCAGTTTTTGATGCTAAACCAGAAAAATTATGTTGAAAACTTGAACAGAACGGTAAGAACGAGACTTTGTATTACTTTAAGAATAAAGACGTTTTTCGAAAACTACGACCCTTCGAGTTTTTAAAATTTTTCGACTGGAAAAAAATGTTTTGAAAAGATAAAACCAATTTTTTCTTACTCAGTTCGATACGCTCTTTCAAATGATATATGATTTAACGGAAAGAAAATACTGCTCAACTGTTGAATTTTCGGCATCTTACAACGTTTTCAAAATGTACAATATAAGAACAAAATACAATCAAACTTATTATTAGTAACGCTGCAGTTTTTTTATTTAAATATTTTTTGTTCCATCTTTTCTAAGGCACAGCAAATTCAAACTTTCCACACAATTTTAATTTCTTGCCTAATTATACATTATTTGATAGAGCTTTTCAAGCTCATCAAGGATATTATGGTCTTAATCTTATTCATACAAGTTTTCAGTGGAAAAAAATGCAAAAAACTCAAAGGGAGTCATTTGTCGGAAATTGGTTAATTTTCAAAAGCTTGGTCAAAAACTAAGGCGAATGATATATAATTGAAAAATTTTCGTCGATTTTCATTGTTTGATAAAAATCTTACTAATTTTTCGACGTGAACATTCGAAAAAAATGAAAATCGACGAAAATTTTTCAATTATATATCATTCGCCTCAGTTTTTGACGCTGACTCCGAATATGATATTTTTATTGCATAAAGGTTGAGGTCTAATGGAGAAACTTCTACTTATGTGCAGAATTTTCGCTTTGTCGCTTTTGATTTACAAAAAGAATGAATTTTCTCAGTGACAAAACAAAATGGAAAAAACAGCGATTCATACGTTTAAAGCTTGTTTAGCAGCGGTTCTAATCAAGTACAAAAAACGGGTTTTTCTCTCCACAAAAGAAACTAGATGGGTTTGCAAGAGAGGCATGTACCATTTTCAGTGGTCTAATCCTCGAAGTCGCACTTAATCAAATTTTGATTTTGAATTCAATTAAGCATAATTTTTGTATTCAGTTTTTAATGCTGAATCCGAAAAATATAAACCCTTCCCTGTAATGGAAGACTAGGTGACATTTCAGTTTGTTCGACAACTCTAAATTTTGAGGGTAGTCTTTTACTGCCGTCAAATTTTATCGCCTGCTAGTAGTTCATCGGTAGGACGTCATGGTCTTCTATTTGGCTTTCAGGCCATATGATCGACAGTGGTCTTCTAATGAGGAATGATCTTCTATTTCGGGATGGTCTTCCATTACGGGCAGAGGATTACTTTCAAAAGCTAAAAAGAACTGTGAAAGGGAAAAAATTGAAGTTTTTGAAACTATGTAAACTTATAGTTATCCATTTTTTGTCACTATATCTTCTTTTCTGTTTGATAACAGCTAGACTTTTCTTGTCATTTCGCCTTCGTCTGTGTTCCTTCTTACGTTTTCTTGTTGCTCCCTCACTTTCTATTTAAAAAAAAATCAGTCACGGCATACAAAGACGTCAGTCTCAGTCATGAAGCCATCAGTGTCGGACAAAGTCTCAGACTCGAAAAAAACTCATCAGTCATGATTCAGTTTCAGTTATCACTGAAACTTGCCCATCTCTGTTGAAAACTAGCCATTTTTCGAAACCCGTTGGGTTTTTTGAAATCTTTTTCACTGGAAACTTGTATGAATAAGGTTAAGACCAAGATACTCTTGATCAACTTGAAAAGCTTTATCGAATGATGTATAATTAAACCAGAAATAAAATTGTGTGGAAAGTTTGAATTTGATGGGTCTTACGTATGTTTGTCGTATTCATATGCAAAGTATATAGCGGAATTCTTCTTAAGTTTCTACATTCTTTATGGTACAATACAATTAGCTTGCTTCGTTTCTTTTCACTAAAATAATAAGTTTAAAGCATATCGTTTACTCAGTGTTCATTTATGTTATTTAGACTGCGGTGGATTGTGCAGTAGGGCGACAACATTTCGACACTATGAGTTGATAAAATTCTTGTTGTGTTGTTTTGGAAAGGATGAGATTAATGTAGAATTTGTTCGCATAATTACTTGTTACCAATAAAATCGCGAAACGTGTTAATAATGTCCATTTTTGGTATTTTTCGCACGGAAATGTTGGCGTATGAGCAGATGAAGCCTTAAAAAATTGTAAAAGAGTAACGGGAATGATCGATATAGTGTTATACACGGCGAATATAACGAAAAGTATCGATGTTGTTTGCATTCGAGCTGCTTGTGCGCTTGTTTTGTGCTGTTGTCGATGTTTACAACGATTCCAAAGGATAATTGAAGCGCATACACATGTGATAAACGCAGGAACAATCGTGAATAAAATAGAGTGAAGTAAAGGCCATAAACGGACATAGGGATAAAAGTCACAACTGCCACTTTTCAAATAGAATGACAAGTGAAAATGAGCCATCAACACGCCAACAAGAAGAATTATGAGCAGAATGGTAATTATTACTTTTTTTTGAGTAACAATTGAATGAACACGATGTGGTAGAAGTATGACGAATGAATGATCTACGGCTGCGTTAGCAAATAGCAAATTTGAAATAATTGAAGCACCAACAAGCAATCCGTAATATCCCCCACACGACAACATATCTCGAGGATCTTTGGTAATTGACATTACAAGCAACCATAACCAAAATACTCCTAGTAATGATTAATGGCTATGTTATGATATTAATTGAATGATGAAGACTTACCAGCCTGATAGATGAGATCAAACAAGCCAATAGCAGCAAAATAAATCGATAGTGGTTGTTTTTGATTATCTCGTTTCAACATAAGTATGATCATAAATAAATTACCAAAAACGCCAAATATAACACATATTAGGGCCAAAATTTTCCATAATATATCTCCAAATGCAAAATATTGGGTGTGTACACAAACTAATGTCGAATTTACGATGGACATGATGTCTCTGATGAAATGTGAAGATCGTTTTTTTGTTACATTTCCTACAGAGAAAGAACAGGATATGAAGATTTTAAGCAAATAAAAGAAAATTTTTTTCTCTGTTCTGAAAATGATTTTGAATAATCTATCACTGCGTGTTATATAAAGAAAAAAAAGAATTGTCTTCTCATGTTTCTTATTCTGTTTTTGAAAAACGACTACTGCTGTGATCCAAGGTCGACATTATTCTCATTGTTAACAGAAGCGGCAAACGTATTGGAAGATAATTTAACGAAAAAACTTGTCTGCAAGACACTGTTTCAAATGTAACACTCTGATTAAACTCTCTTCTTATTTTACGCAAACTCATTCTGTGGAGCTCCATTTGCTTTTTTGAAAACAACAGCCATTCAAAACTCGAAAGCTACTGTCATACTTGAGGAAACAGACGGTGTTTTCAGGTGTCATGTAGGCATCGAATAGCCTCGGCATATCCTCTAACCTCACAGACCTAAAGCCTAATTAATTTAAAAATTACATTCATTTACGGTGCAAAGTGAACATTCAATAGACTGATTCTCATGGGTTGCGTGTATTATGAACTAAACAGAGAGAGATAGTTCCGCTTTTTTCTTTCTAGAGTGCTTAAGTTTCATTTTTTCTTTTTCCTGTCAAATTTATTAATAAAAGAAGACGTTATACAAAAGAAGTACAGTACAATATTTTGAAAGTAGTAACCAAAGTACTAAAGGTTAATGAAAGATAGTACAACAAGAACGTTTGGACGAGATAATTTAGTCCAGACCCGTCAACTGATTAAATCAAAGTAATCAAAAGTCCCAGCTTGTTAACACTTTCTATTTTCTC